TCAAGTCAAGGGTTAAGATCCCCTTACCGGTCATCTTTAAAAAAAAAAAAAGAAAAAAAAACCAAGCAAATGCTGAGTGCTGGTTCATTTAATCCTCCCAGTCCCCTGTGTAACCTGAATTTGGTACTGCCATCCCTGGTTTAGAGATGCGGACACTGGTGTAAGACCACTCAGCTCAAGACTGGCCTGGCCTGGGCTGCTGACTCTCATCTGCCTCCAAAGCTGGGCCTCTCTGCCTCACTGCATGGTGCGGGGGCTTAGCAGCTGAGGGGTTTTGAGGAGATGGAGACCACCAATCTGCATTTGAGAGGCCTTCGGGTCAGACCTGGGCTGGGATTTCTCCGGCTCTCAGCCGGGTCAGAGCCAGGGTACAGAGTTCCTGGCCACTTCACCAGGGCAGTCTGAAGCCACAGAAGCTTTTCAAACATGGGGTTCTGGGAGCCATAAGGAAGACAGTGGCTTCCGTGGGGAGGGCTCAGGAGCAGAGGTTCACCCGCACATCCAGACCTAGTTCCCGCGGGGCCTGCGGCAGGCAGGGAAGAGATGACTGCAATTAGGGCTGCTTGGAGCTGTTAGTGGCAGAGCCTGGTGCCCGCTCTGCGGTCACTTCCCTCATTGATTTAATCAGGAGCTAAGCAACGAGGAAGATAACCAAAGGGTGGGCAAGGGTGGGGGACACAGACTGGGGAGGAGACTCAGGGCAGAGTCAGTCCTTTCTAGAACAATCTGGGAGTTCCTGGGCACATGCGGCGGTCCTGACGTGTGGAAAAGGGGCTTAGAAATGCTTGTTTGATACATCTTACTTCTCATACAGGTGTCTAAACAGCCCCATGTTACAGATGCAGTCTGGTAGCCAGCTTGGCTCAGGGGGGCTGACTGGGGGTGCTGCAAAGCCCCCGGAGATTATGCTGGACAGAGGGGCCTAGAGAGAACAGCATTTCCAGAGCGAGCATTCTGCTTTCTCCTCTACAGGCTCAGGCAGGCCCAGAGACGTGCCAGGAGAGCCAGTCTCAGCAGCTGGGGACCCAGCTATCCCTAAACCCCACACCCAGCCCACTGGACACCTCCCCCCGCCGGCCTCCAGGCCCTGCCACCACCCCCACCAGCACCTCCCTCAGCAGCCCAGGTAAGGAGCCTGGGCCCGGGTGGGCTGGTGGGAGAGGTTTCTGCTGTGGGGTCCTCCGGCTCTTCACAGGCACCTCTGCTCTCCAGGGCAGCGGGATGACCTCATTGCCAGCATCCTCTCAGGTAGGAGTGGGGCCTGTTCTGGGGAAGGGGCTACCGGGAGGGTTGGCCTGCCCCAACCCAATCTCCTGCCACCCCTTCCTCTTTGCTCTGCTGCTCACAGAGGTGGCCCCCACCCCCCTGGACGAGCTCCGAGGCCACAAGGCTCTGGTGAAGCTCCGGAGCCGGCAGGAGCGAGACCTGCGGGAGCTGTGCAAGAAGCACCAGCGCAAGGCGGTCACCCTCACCCGCCGCTTGCTCGATGGCCTGGCCCAGGCCCGGGCCGAGGGCCGCTGCCGGCACCAGCCAGGTGTCCTGTGAGTGCCCAGCCTAGCCGTGTGCCAAGCATGCTACGTGTGTTGACATGGACATAGGGGGCATGCATGCACAGGGGTTTCCCCTCTAGGGACACGGAGAGGTGGCAGGGGCTGCACTTGATCCCCAGGGAGGAGGATTTGGTGCAAGGAAGATAGAGAAGGCTTCCCGCACCGGGTCCTGCCCTCTTTCCACCACGGAGTGAGCCCTCTCTTAAAGTCTCCCATGAAGAGCCAGTTGTCCAAACAGGCTCCCATCATTTGGGTGAAGCTAACGGGCCTCCTAGTTTGCATAACAGACCTTGATCTCCCTGGGCTGGTGTCTGCCATTGCCTGCTGGGATGTGCCCTGTCCCCCAAGTTTATGTGATGGAGCCAGGCACCACCCAGAGGGGCTCTCCCCACAGAGGCGGGGCCACTGATGTGGAGGACATGAAAGAGGAGGAGGAAGAGGTGAAGCGGTATCAAGAGTTCCAGAACAGACAGGTGCAGAGTCTGCTAGAACTGAGAGAGGCCCAGGCGGACACAGAGGCTGAGCGGAGGCTGGAGCACCTGAAACAGGTGCGGGGGCATGTGGCGGTGAGGGAGAGCCTCCCTCCTGGAGAGACTTGTCATTAGCCTATGTCACCTGTTGGCTACCCACGTCCATAGGCTCAGCAGCGGCTCAGGGAGATCGTCCTGGAGTCCCAGGCAGCTCAGTGCAAGAGGCTGAAGGAGATGAATGAGAGGTAAAGGCAGAGGATCTTGGAGGTAGGGGACTCCCTCGTAGCAGGAGAGCAGAGTCCCTGGTCCTGCCACTGACCCCTCCTCTTCCGCTACCGGCTTCTCCAGGGAGAAGAAGGAGCTGCAGAAGATCCTGGACAGGAAGCGCCACAACAGTATCTCGGAGGCCAAGACAAGGGAGAAACATAAGAAGGAGGCGTAAGGGTGTCAGGACTGGGAGGCACTAGGGTGCTGGGGAGGAGGACGGGGGGTGGCCTGGGCACTGAGCCCATCCTGCCTTGCTCCTGCCAGAGAACTGACAGAGATTAATCGTCGGCACATCACCGAGTCGGTCAACTCCATCCGTCGGGTGCGTGAGGCTCACGGGCCACCCCAACCCCGCCCCCTCTTCATTCATCAGAAACCCATCTCGGTGCCTGTTCTCGTGCCATGTTGCCGTTCAGGGGCTTCTAGAGCCTTTTTCCCCTGGGCCCCCCAGCTCCCCAGTGCCCACATCATATCCAAAGCCGGCTGTCTGCACAGTGCCCCGTGGCTTTGGAGCCCTCAGGCCTGGTCATCTCACATCCCTGGCCGTACAACCCTGGGAGTCTTCACTCACCAGAGCCCTAGGGCCCTGGCTCTCCCCCAGGATCCCACCGCTGAGCCCTTGCCCACCCCCACAGCTGGAGGAGGCCCAGAAGCAGCGGCACGATCGTCTCATGGCTGGGCAGCAGCAGGTCCTACAGCAGCTGGCAGAAGAGGAACCCAAGGTGCTCCCATGGGTGAGGCGGGCGGGGGCTGGCACTGGGCGGCCTGGCCTCTCTGTGATGCCCGTTCTCCTCCTGCAGCTGCTGGCCCAGCTGGTCCAGGAGTGTCAGGAGCAGCGGGCCAGGCTGCCACAGGAGATCCGTCAGAGTCTGCTGGGAGAAATGCCAGAGGGGCTGGGGGACGGGCCCATGGTGGCCTGTGCCAGCAATGGTCACGCGCCTGGGAGCAGCGGGCACCTGTCTGGCGCTGACTCAGAGAGCCAAGAGGAGAACACACAGCTCTGAACTGGCTGAGCAAGAGGTGGCCACAGGGCCAGGGTGCGCACCGGGCGAGGGCAGGAGGCAAAGACACTAAAGCATTTTTTTTTTTAAAACATTTTATCTTTAGAAATTTTATTTTTTTAAACCTGGGGCGAGTACCCCATGCTAACTCCCTTCTGGGGCCCTGTCAGGCCTCAGCTTCTCCTTCCTGCCCTTGGTCCTAGGGAAGGGCCTTTTGATGATGCCCACACCCCAGAAGGGGTGGCCTCTCCCTCACTTCCCAGGGAGTGCTGCTGGGTGGAGACCTGCTGCTGGAGCTCTGGGAACAGGGGTCAGATTCTTTCTTTTCTTTGGGGAGTTTTTTACATGAATAAAAGTGGATTTCAGGGACCCTGTGCAGCGTGGTTTGGGGTGAGAGGACTCTGGGCCTTAGGTCTGTCTCTGCCACTTCCTCTGGGGCCTCAGTTTCCTCATCTATAAGATGGGCTATAGGCCGGCTCGTGGCTCACTCGGTAGAGTGCGGTGCTGATAACACCAAGGCCGCGGGTTCGGATCCTATATAGGGATGGCCGGTTTGCTCACTGGCTGAGCGTGGTGCTGACAACACCAAGTCAAGGGTTGAGATCCCCTTACCGGTCATCTTTTGAAAAAAAAAAAAAAAAAGATGGGCTATGAGCATTTGGTGGGGTTGAGGTCAGGCCTCCAGTGAAGGGTTGCTGGGTTTGAACTTGAGACCACCTCACCCAGGACCTGCAGGTCTTCCCAGTAACATGGACGGCTCTTGGCCTCCTCCAGGCCCTCTGCTTATGGGCCATTGCTCCTGGTTTCCCTCCTCCCCATTACTTTCTCCCTCCCTTCGCAGAGGCTCTGGCATCTGCTTCAGGAAGCCTTCTCTGCCCACCCCCTTCCTGTTGCCTGATATGACCCAAGCACCCAGTATCTTACGCCGGGGCTGCTCTGGGCCCCACAGAGTTGACTATCAGGAGATGGACCAGCTGAGGTGGAGCTGGGCAACTCAGAACCTGCCCAACACCAGGGGACTGGGGAATTGGGCCTGCCAGAGACCCCTGGGACAAGGGAAGCTGATTGTCACAGACACTTGTAGGGGCTGAGACACCTAGCATCCCCTGTATCCCTGTGAGGGAGATGTTGTGCCTGTTTTACAGATGAGGAAACTGAGGCCCAGAGCGAGTAACCTATGCCAGGCCACAGCTGTCAAGATATCCTGACCTGGAGGCAGGGCAGGCCTGGACCCTCTGTGGCAGACTTTTCGGCCAGCCTGCAGGACCTGCTCCATGCCTTGGGACCAGCGTGAAGTGGCAGAGACCCCACTGCGAGGGTGCAGCTGCACTCTGCAGCAGGGTCAGGCTGGCACCTTTTCAAGGCCTCTCCCAGCTTCCTGGCGCTTCCTGGGCTGACTGCCTCCCTCCTCCAGAGGAAGGCAGCCTCTTATCTGGGCTTATCTCCTACCAATTGAGCGTTTTCTTTGCTTTGTTTTTGCTGCAGCCTCAGGCAAACAGATGGGGTGGGGAAGCCAGAGAAATGGGGCCTTCCAGCGCCCAGCCCAGCGGAGGTCCCTCCCAGGGCTGGGGACCTCTGCCCTGGATCCTCCTTGCTCAGGGTCAATACCATTGCCCAGACCTTCCAGCTTCTGCTGTCAGACCTTGTCCTATGCCCCAATCTGCCCACTCTCCTGTATTCTGTGTCCAGGACCCTCAGCAGGCAACTCCCATCTTCCTGACTCCGCTCACCTCCACTTGGAAACACTACATGTCGATTCCTGGGTCCTCAAAAACCAGCTAAACTTCAAATTCCTGGGTGTAACATTCAAGGCCCTCAGAAGCCTGGCCTCTGCTGGTCCCCCCATCCTTCCATGAGTCCCTTCTTCCTTCTGCCGGGAGCCCCCCCCCCCCTCCGTCACCTACAAGTCGCCTCCTCCCTGACTCCCCTGTGGGAGAAAGCCGCTCTCACCCCGGTTCCACCGGGCCCCTCCAGAGCGGGGGCTGTGGCTAATCACGTCTGTACACCCGGTGCAAGGCACCGGCCTGGGCTATAGGGGGCGCCAATAAACCTTCTAGAATTGAGTCCAAGCTGTGCTCCAGGTCCCCGTGCGAAGCTACTCCCAGCCTTCGGTCGAGCCTCCTCCGCCCTGCGCGTCCTGCCAGGTCCCCAAGCAGTGCTGGCCCCAGGCCGGCCACACAGTAGCTGCTCACAGGGACTGACCCAAATAAGAACAAGTGACCCTCCCTGGGGAGCCGCGGCACGGTTTGCAGAGCACGGGACAACGGCGGCCGGCCGGGCTGCAGTTCCCAATTACCATATTAGAGATAAAGACCTGACGGCCCCTGGGGCCCGGCCGCGCTCCGCCTCCCTGAGGCTGGGCAGCCCTGGCGCCGCCTGCTACCTCGACCCTTCCTGGGCTCGGTCCCCGGCTGTCACTCAAAAACAGCCTGTTTCCCTCAAGTGTCAAACGCTACACCGGCCCGCGGAGCCGCAGGCGACGGACAGAGGAGACTTGGTGGCACTGACGCGGGCTTTATTAGCACATTTAGTTGCGAGCGTCGGTCCGCAGGGTCACCGCGGGGAAAGGGGTTCTGGAGAAGGAACAGTTAATCCCGGCTTGTAAATTGGCGCAGGCGCCTGAGGGCAGCCCAGCGCCGGAGAGCGGGGCACGGAGCCCCTTCCGGCGGGTAAGGGCGAAAAAACTGCCGAACTCCTAATAGGGCCGAACGCTCCCGGGTTCGCGCACACACCGGAAAGGAATAGGGCTCTGGGTCAGGCCGCCTCCCTCCGACAGAATGATCCTGTTTTTGCATAAGGCCTGGGGTAAAGACTTCCGCCCACACCCAAGATGGCCGCCAACGGCGACGGGAAGGGGTGGGGCATCGGGAATGCGGGACGGAAGGTCACTGAGAGGGGGTGGAGCCTCCTCTCCCCAAGTTCCGATCCCACCAGGACTGGATGATGCGCGTCCAACTTGAGCTTTGCCGCATCTGCGTCGCTGTGCCCGCGCTCTTCGGGCGAGGAAGTCCCTTCAGGGTGGGAAGAGGAAAGGGTTAAGTGAGTTAATTATCATGGGAGCTCCAGCCCGGCCCCTCCACTTCCGGAACCCCGCCTCTAAGAGATCCCAGATAATAAAGACCACAGCTCCCAGCGTGTCCTGGGAAGGGACAGGCCGGTAGGCGGGGAGGACGTCCTGGGACTACGGATCCCGGCATGCCCTGGGACACGGAAGGGCAGCAGGCTGGTGGAAGCAGCCTGGGACCACAGGTTCCGGCACGCCAGGGAACGGCGCTCACCTTGAAGGAGCCCTGGAACTCGTCGCTCATCCTCCGGAGCTCGCGGCCGTAGCGCTGTGCAGCCCAGAGGTTGGGGGGAGCCGAGCGCGAGCGGCCCCGGAAGGGGCTGGGCTCCTCCTCCAGCCCTTCATCCACCTCGGTTCCCTCTGGGTACGAGCTGTGGCGGCTTCGGGTCTCCACAGCTCCAGCGCCTGCAGAGAGGGTCAGGGGACGGGGGGCGATGTGAATCTCAGCTCCTTTCTGCCCCCGGCCCTGCCGAAACCCTCACCTTTAGCTCGGCCAGCCCGCTGATGTCTTTGTGTGCACACTGCAGTCTACCTCCCTGAGCCCCAGTTCCCTCATATGTAACTCTAGGGAAGCTCAGGGGGCTTTTGTGAAGATTTGGGTAAACGTCTCATTAATCCCGCAAATCCTTATTGAGTGCCAATAACGGACAAAGCCATTAGTGTATGAAATGACCTTCCACTGGGCCTAGCACAAACTAAGGGCATAAGAAATAGTATTTATTATCTCCGTTCCCAGGAGAGGGCACCAATCTGCTGGATAGGGAGGTGTCCAGGTCCCCAGACTGAATTCCAACTCTGCAAGGGCCCCTAGGGAACAAGAACGTAACAGCAACATGTCTGCATCCCCTGTAGCACCTGCTTTGGAGAAAACGTCTTCAACTGTGTGTTGACTTTTGTAGGTAACATTTATGGAGCACTTACTATGTGCTAGGACATTCCCTTATTATCCTCCTAAACACCCTGTGAGGTGAGTACTGACATTGCCTGCATTTTACAGATGAGGAGACAGAGGCTTAGAGAGGTTAAGACACACCCAGGGTCACGCTGCTGTGAAGCCCTGAAGCTGTAAGTGCCTACAGGTTTGGTGGATTCCATAATCCAGTGATTTTCTTTTGAGCTATGCACTCCTTCCCTTGTCCAACTAACCTTCAACTCTCTGGGCCTGTTTCCTGTTTTGTGAAGGGATAGTCCTGGCCCTCATACCCAGTGGCTGTCTAAAGGTCACATAAAATAAAGAGTGTGAAAGTGCTTTGTAAACTGCAAGTGCACTGTGGGTCACTATTCAGAGGCACCGCTGCAGTGGTCTGTTTGTCTGATCTGTGCACTGTGTGCTGCCAACTCCTGCCAACTGCACCCAAACCAATAAAGACAAAATACCCAGAGCTAAGTAACAAGAGTGAACAACAGGCAGGGGAGCCTGCACACAGCAAAGGCTTTATGGAGGAGATAAGGTTTATGCCAATTTTGAAGCTGGGAGATAAACAAAATGTATCCTCCTTAAAGGACCTTAGGCAAAGCTCTGTGGGTCAGCTACAGGGCCTACAAGGGTCTCAGCTTCAGATATATGACTGGGAAAGCCAGGAAGTGAACCAGGTGACTGGATCCAGAAGGGCCTAGGCTAAGAAGGTGTAGTCAGAGCGTCTGGCCCTCTGAGCTTCACCAAAGCCCAGGCCCACCCTGAGGTCAGGTGCAGACACCTCAAGGCCCTGAGGAGTGAGATGGCAATGGAGAACAAGCAGCTAAGTCAGGAGTCAAGATTGGGGATGGGGCTGGAGATCCAGCCATAAAAGACCCCTGACAAGAATCACCCATCTGCAGAGCACTTTCCGGTTCTGTGTGCCTTGGGCAGTTGAGTAGGGGTCAGTAGCTAGGTGGGCCCGACATCCACCATGTTCCTGCTCTGTGATTTTGAGCCCATTCTCCAGCTCCTGGGGCCTGAGTGTCTTTCTCTGTGAAATGGGGGCAGTCTCCATTGTCCAGGACCACCATGAGAACAAATGAGACCAGGAGAGCACTCTGCCCTGCGCTGCCCCTTTCACATTCCTGACGCCTCAGCTTCCCAGTGAGGCAGACACCAAGTTCTCCCTTACAGATGAGGAAACAGGCACTGACCGAGAGGTCAGGAACTTGCCTAAGGTCATGCAACTGTCACACTACCCTTAGGTGCCTGGCCACCTAAGTGCTCAGGAAACATCAGCTGTTCCTCTCTACTACTTGACAGATGCAAGGCCCCACATTCAGAAGGTCAGCGTCTTGCACATGGGCACTGGTCTGGGCACTGCCCCTAGCCCGGGAATCAGAACAAGCAGAAGAACACTGGCTGAGTCAGGTTGGGAGTGCTTCTCATGTATTAATTCATTTAGTCCTTACCACACCCCATCAGGGAGGTCCTTCATGGTCACCATCTTACAGAGGAGGAAACTAAGACACAAAAAGGGTGAGTGACTTGCCCAAGGTTACACAGCTAGTAGGTGGCAGAGCTGGGATCCAAACCCAGCCAGTCTGGCTCCAGGAACTGATGCTTAACTCTCATGCCCCAGGATCCTTCCAGCTGCACCATGGGCCGCCTTGGGAGTCCAGGTTGGGGAAGGCCCCCCTGAGCCTTTTGCTAGTGTCAGCTCTGCCAGGAACCAGCGGGATTTTCATACCAAAGCCATTGATTTAGCAATGCCAGGCCAGCCATTGTCAAAATGACACCCATTTGTGTAAGTGAATTTTTAAAAGTATCTTATTTACTGGAAAAAACTTGTGGGATTTTCTGTGAACTCTCTGGAGAAATGGGATGGTGGGGTAGGGCCTGGGCCAGCCACTCCCCTCTTTAGGGAAGGGAGAGGATACATCTCTTCTCTAGGTGTGAGCATGGGTGGGTGCCCGGGCCTGACCACTCATGCCATCCTCCCTGAGAGTCTGGCCTGGGGCTGGGGTAGAGGGGTGGCAGTGGCTGTGTCTGGAAGTGCCCCAAGCCCCAGAAGTTCCTCTCCAGCTTTAATTCCTTTACCCATTGGGCTTTGGGAAAGTGGATGGGGCTGAACACATCCATTTTCATGCTCCCATGAGCATCCCTGCACACTTAATTAAAATAGCGGCGATCCAGACTGTTGGAAGCAGTGGAGCTTTGCCATCAGGCAAGGCTGGGTTTGGATCCCGCCTCTCCCACAGGCAGCCTACACACACTGCCTGCCAGGAGAAGGCAGAGCACTGGTGGCCTGGCTGCCACCCACCCTCAGCTTCTAGCACCTGCAGGCCTCGGCCTTGACTAAGGCCATTTCAGTACAAAAGCCCCTTGCTCAGAGTTGATGCAATCAGAAAACACTCTAAAACGGGTTGGCAAATGTTTTCAGTAATGGGCCAGATAGTAAATATTTTAGGCTTGGCTGGCGCCGTGGTCTCTGTGACAACTACTCAACTTTGTGGTCATGGCTGAAAAGAAGCCATAAACAATATGTAAATAAATTCATGTTGCCCTGTTCCACCAACACTTTATTTAAGGACATTGAAATTTAAATTGTATGTAATTTTCACATGTTACAAAATATTGTTCTTTGGATTTTTGTCAACCATTTAAGAATGTAAAAACCACCATACAGGCCAGCTGCAACAAACAAACAAAAAAATTAAAACCATTCTTAGCTCATGGGCTGTACAAAAACAGAGGGATTTAGCCCATGGCCATGGTTTGCCAACCCTGCTCCAAAACCCAACCATGTCTTCTGACTGAAACCTTCAATGGCTCCTTATTGCATAACTTTATTGAGATAAAGTCCAAACTCGTTGGTGTGACCTTTAAGGCCCTTACATTCTGATTCTAAACTATATTTCATGTGTCCATCATCGAAGGAGCACTGGATATTCATGTCTCTATCCCCACTGAATGAACAGCAGCCCCTAGGAGCTAAGCATGAGCACCCCCTGGTCTTCTCAGAGCCTGGGCCAACTCCTAGCAACAGTAATAACAACGGCCGCAGTAATAGTAACAGCTTACACAGCCCTTCTGTGCCAGGCACTATTCCTGAGCACTTTTCCTGTGTTCACTGATCAGGTCCTTACTACAACCCTATGAGGTGGGACTAGTTCTATTCTCATTTTTACATAAGGAGACCAAGATAGACAAGTTAATTAACCTGCTAAAGCTCAATCTGCTCATATACGGCAGAGCCACATCTGAACCCTGCAGTCTGGCCAGGGCTCTGGGCTGCTCCTCCACTGCACGTCCTTCCTTCTGTCCCTTGCCACTGTCCATGCCCAT